ACCAGAGCTGCCCAGAGCACCCACCTGCATGGCTTTTTCTCCCAACTGGGGGCAGAAATTTCCTTTTGAAGCCAAGTCGCAGCCTCTGCTCTCATTTCTGCCTTACATCCATGAAGGCAACTAAGAATGGAAGACCCTGTTCTTATACCTCCCAAAAAATTCTAGTGGCATTTACTTTTTAAAGTACTCTTCCATGACTACAGGTACTATAAGTATTGACATATAGTTCATCATTTACCAACAAGCTAATTTAAATATACTCAACTTCCTGTACTGGTATGTGCTCCATCCACCTTCAAGTCAGGAAGACATATGGATATCTGCCTAAGCTAGTAGGTATGATAAGTTTACACAAACCAAAAAACAAAAAACAACAACAACAACAAAAAAACTTTGTAAATTTTTGTCAAAGCAATGCATTCTCCAGCTATCTGCTGGTGCAGGACACTGATCTGTCTCCTCACCTGTCTGTTGGCAGACAGGGACTGTCTAAATCCAACTGATCAAACTGAGTTACTCATTTACAGCGGGCAAAACCACTTTTTAAATAATTTTGAGGGCAACTTCACTTCTAGTTGTGCTGAACCAACAAAGACTTTGACCACAACCAGGCAGAGATGCCATTTCATGAATATTCAAAGTCAGAAGATCTCAACTCTTCCAAGGGTCACTTCTATCCTGCCACATTCCTGGTCGCTGCAGCCCCCAGCTGCCTGCACATCTCACCAAGGCTTCCTGTGAGCTCCCTCTCATGGGCTTCTCCCCTTCACTGCCTCAGAATGAACTGATTTGGTTCTATTTGCTCTGTATTAACATTCAGGTTAAAAATGTACTCAGGGCTCTGGACGTGCTCCCTGGACCAGCACTGTCCTGCTAATGAGCTGGGTTTTTCTGCAGTTGTTTTCTCTTTTGCTTTCTCCCAGCTCACCTCACCCACCTTCTCTCTACTGCCTGGGCTTTCCTTACTATGACAGCTACTGAAACAGCAAAAAAAAGGGCCAGCATTACAAATGATTGTTTATGCAGCTCACTGTGGTTTCCTAAAACATCTTGTTCTGGGTCTAGGCACAGGCACATAAACAGCTCACAGCACAGCTCCTGGTCCCTACACACACCAGCAAACCCACAGCATCCCCAAACTGGAGCTTGTCATTCCCTCCATAGTGAGGGAAAGAACCAGCTTGGTGAAACCCATCATCCCAACAAACCCCTGGAAATTCTTTCCCTCCCAAGAAAGAGCTCACCCCTCCCTCAGAAATAAAACCAAAAGGAAATGCATGTTCTGGGAATGTGACTTTATCTAAGCAAAATCATGATTCTTCAGAAGGGCATTTTCAGTGGAATGTAGCTGAACAGGGATCTCAAGACAAAATCAGTATTTCTAAAGCAAGTTTGTAACTAATGTCTGAGACAAGTTCTTTTGTGTGTGAGATGTGGCTCAGGATCCTGTTTCCAAACAAAAACCCAGTGAGGTAAATAAAAACCAGTACTGTGCACTCTGTGAGCCAAAGACACTGCAAGATAGCTATTACAACTCAATCAAGGATATACTAGAACTTTGTCTTCCTGTTTAGAAGGTGAAACGTTCCTGTTTTCCCCACCTTGCTTGCCAAAACTTTCTGTTCTTTCTTATATTTACCTATTTTTCTCACATATTTCCCTGACAAAAATGGTTCCCACTGCCCATCAGTCATGTATTTCCAGCATTTATTTATGAGTGCTAGTAATGAAAAAAAAATCTGCTTTGTCTGATTCCACAATGCCAACCTTGACCCCAACCTAAATATTAGAATCAAGAAACTGTAATATTAGAACAAATCTACTTATCAACTACAACATGGAATTAATTTACTCCACCTAATGAGATCAAAATCTGAGAGCAATTCATCAGGGCAAATCCAAGAGGATTTGGCCCCACCAGGATACTCCCAAACTTCTGAATATAAATATTTTCCCATCAGGATCGTATGGAAATTAAAGCAATTACATTTCCTTTATATTAAAAGTGGCATATAACAATCATTACCTGATTAAAATTTTTGAAATTGAACTCCTTGTAGATGGCATCTCTTTCTCCCAGCTCAGACCAGCCTGAAGCTTTGAGATCCAGTAAAACTTGATTCCTTTCCTCTGTCGTCAACCAGTGAGACTGGGAGGACTATTGAGGGAAAAAATAAAGGCATGGCACAAGTGAGGCTGAGGTTCTCTTTTGTACAACAATAAGAAAACCACACAATGAAATTGTGGTTATGTATGGTGCAAAGGTGAGGATATGGAAAATTCACTGTGCAGTTTCTTACTGTTTATAATTTCACAGAGCAGTTTAACCCAAACCAGCCAAACCCTGCCATTTCTGTTTGGGCAGCTAAATTCGGGCAAGTGCTTTTTGTGCAAAACTAGTGAAAAGCAACAGACTCCCAGGAATGAATTTGGACAGCAGCATACCTGTAACCTTAGTTATCCGAATTATCCAGATGCTGTAACATCACATTTAATTTCCAAATGTTCCATTCTGTCTGGTAAGTAAAGGATTATTTACATTATTTGCTATATGTACAATTATAAGGCTGAAAGATATCAGGAAATACCTATTTCAAAAAAGAGAAGAAAAACAGGAGATTGCACTCTACCTACGTTGTATTTTACTATTTTAAGAAAGTGGGAATGGACTTTTAAACTATGGAGTTCTACAAGGAACAAAGACCTTTGTAACTAAATCAAAAGGAAAAAAATGTCAATAGAGACACAATTACAAAAAGTTTGAAGCTGCTGGTAAAAGCACTAGATTCTGCAAAGCACCAGTGTTTAAGTATGGCTTACTTGAAGTGACAGGAGTCCTCCTGATGCCACTGAGCACACAGACACGACAGATTAACACACTGCTTAAATATCTGAATCAGCCTGCAAAGCACCAGTGTTTAAGTATGGCTTACTTGAAGTGACAGGAGTCCTCCTGATGCCACTGAGCACACAGACACGACACTGCTTAAATATCTGAATCAGGGGCTGAACCACACACAAGGACAGAGCCAGGCACAGAGGAACGTTCTGCGGGGCCTTCGGAAGAGGTTTGTTTTTTTTTCTAAAAGCAGGGACTAAGAGCATGAGCCCTTCCTCAGACCACATGCTCTGAGAGAGGGGTCTCAGACTCTCATGATAAACGCAATGCTTTAGTGGGAAGAACCTTTCTCTCCAGTACAGCTACATTCGGATTGGTTTAGTCTTTATTTTAGCAGCTGGCTCAGCTTTGTGAGATGCTCCAGAAGGGCAGTTTTGCTCCAGAGGTTCGCTCGGACCAGCTCAGCAGCTCCCGAGTTTCCGCCTGTGCCAGCCGCTGCTCCAGCGGGAGCCCCGGTGCCACCAGATGGGGCTGCGAGTCCGGGCAGAGCAGGAATTAACGCAATTAATGCGACCTCAGCAAGGCCTCAAGATGCACGAGGGCCAAGGAGCAACATTTTCACCAATAATATAGGATAAAAAGCCCCAAATGGAGTAAATCAATCTGACAACAACACTGCTGCTGTTTGTGTTTAGGGGACGCAGAGATGTAACAAGAGATGGGTTTTACAGGCCCCAAACTGAACTAATTTAGGCTCTTTACACTTCAAACACAACACTAGGCTTGCAAGAACACAAATTTCAGATTTGTCTTTGCTACAACTGCGTCATAGGCATAAAATTCTTACCAAAACAGTCGTCAAGTAAAATAAAAAAACAGAACTAAGTCTCATGCCTGAGGGGCGAGGGTTGAGCCCTGCATGTGCTGTTCACTATTAGCTTTGTGTAAAATAAAATGGATGGGATGGTGGGGGACACAGGGAGAATCACAGAATGATTTGGGCTGGAAGGGATCTTAAAGCCCATCTTGTTCCACCCCTGCCACGGGCAGGGACTTTTCCCACTATCCCAGGCTATTCCACACCCACTGGAATCTCCCACTTTATCTTTTTCCTTGCAGCCTGGATGAACACTTCCAGGGATGCAGCAACCACAGCTCCTCTGGGCAGCCAGTGCCAGGGCCTCACCACTCCCACGGGGAAGAATTCCTTCCCGATATCCCATCTAACCATCTACCAGTGTGAAGCCATTCCCCCTTATCCTTTCCCTCCACGCCTTTGCCCCAAATCCTCTCCAGTTCTCCCCATGCCCCTTCGCGTATTGAACGGCGGCAACCAGCTCTCCCCGGAGGCTTCTCCAGCCTGAGCAGTGCCAATTCCCCCAGCTCCGAGGGAGCAGGGCCGGGGGCTGGCCCGACCCGCGGCCTGTCCGAGCGTCTCCCCCGGCCCCGCGCCCCCGGCCCGGCGCGGTGCCGCCCCCTCACCATGGACCGGGGGACACGGAGCGGCGGAGGAAGGGGAGCTGCCTGCGCCGCGACAGCCGCCCGGGGCCGCGGGTGGTACCGGCAAAGCGGCCACCGGTCAGGAACGAGGAGGCCCCGGCACCGCATCGCTCTGTGCAATTCCCTGGAAGGAGGTGGAGTGGGGGACACCGATCTATTCTGCCGTGCCTGCAGTGAGAGGACCAGAGCTGGCCTAAAGCTGAGATTGGAGCATTCAGATCAGACATTTAGGAAAGCCTTTTCTCTCTCGGGGTGGCCGGGCATTGGACCCCGTGGCTCCCAGGGAGGCGGTGCAGCCACCAGCCCTGCAGGGGCTTCACAGGCGCCGGGATGGGCGATGGGCGATGGGGTTTAGGGCGTACGGTGGCGGTGCTGGGGGAGGCTTGGTCTGGACGGTCTAAAAGGTCTCTCCTAACCTTGATGATTCCATGATTTGTGAGACCCACCCGGGAGGAGAACGGCCGAGCAGAGCTGCCGGCCGCGGGTGGATTCTGTCGCACAGTGAGCGGGCAGGTGTCGTTCCCACCCCACGGGACCGCACTGAAACAGCCCCGTCCTGTTTGTAAACACACCCCTGTTTCTTCAGCGGTGCGGGCATGAGCACCGGGGACAATCCCACCCTGGGCCTCTCAAAAGAACCAGATGGCAGAGGCAAGAATGCTCCGATTTATCGTTCACAGTCTTTATTAATAACATCCATCCCAGTTTTATCTTCAGTAACACCGAACTTTTACCAGTGCAGCTTCCTTTTTGGACACAGCTACACACGACCTCTGGTTTCCAGAAAAAAAAGATAGAGCCAGCAGAGAAATTAATGAAGAATTACATTGCAGGGATCTGAGCTGTCTGTCAAACAATAAGTCTTAAGACTGTCTTTGTTTTATGTTAGTTTAATTTGCTCTCTAAACCAACCTATTAGGATACTTTGGCAAGCCTCCACCATGATAAATTTTATGCAATCACATAATCCAAACCCCACACAACATACCAGTCCATACCTTATCCAAAGCCCTCCATACTAATCATAACTAAAAAATCCCATAAATTCTTTATGTAGCCCCAAGTGTGGAACTAGCAAACATGGTACTAGAAATTTAAATCAACATCAAGACTGGTCTTCCTAATTTAGGCAGGTGAGCTGTAGTTCAGAAATTGCATGTTTTTACTTCTGAAAGAAAGGGACTTAAAAGGTTACACTAAAAACCTGATTTATTTATTTTTTTAAAGGACAATTAACACAATTTCATCCAACAGGAATGTGGTAAATAAGTTGTATACACTCACAGAAATAGTGAGGTGAGCTTGGGAAGTGACTCTAAATCTCATAAAGAACTGTTACTAAGTCAAAACTCAGAGCAAAGTGAATGAGAAAACCAGCACTGAACCCCAGTGCCAGAGGTGGGAACAGTCACCTCCATGGGAGTGAAAAATCATTTAAAACATCTTCATAGTTCATTTTATGGACAGTCAAACTAATGTACCAACACCTCCCTTCACCAGTATTTGCCTTGCAGTGCCACGCACAGACCAATATGCTGTAAAAATCTTCCCTGATCTACAAATTAGAACTGTAACCCTAATTACATCAAAGTCCATTAAAAAGAAGTCAATCAGAGCAGCTTAATAAATACTTTAGTTCATGTTTTTTCATACTTGTTCACTTACCACTGGAATCGCCACAAATGTGCTTATCACAGATTCAGCAGTTCATAAATAAAGCCAATTTTTAGTCATTATTATAAATTACAACCAACAAATTCAACAGTTCATTCTTAGGTACTTCTAGTCCATAGAAATTCCCACTTTACCAATAAGTGCAAAATGTTGTCCCTGTTTGAACATCTGAGGTTATTCCTGGTGCTCGTGCTCTTGTCCCGGGATGAGCCACCGGATGCTGTCGGTGCGAATGGTGGCGTACATGACAAAGCCAGCCAGGAAGAGCACAGAGAACAGGAGCAGCCAGTCTATGCCCTTCGTCAGGACACTTGGCAGGGGCCCTTCCCAGTCTTCCTCTGTCACAGCCACGTCGCTTCTAGCTTCAATCCCTAAAAAACAAAGTACTTGGTCAACATTGTAATCGCTAAATACAGAGAGGTTGTAGCTCTCCGGAGCTTTCTGGAGCTTTTTAGTTTATCTGGAGCTTTGTTCCTGCTCTCAGACTAAGGCTCAAACACAGGTAGACTTAAAATTTTGGTGAGACAGCCCTTGTACATTAACATAAACCCAGGATATGATTTACTGATATAAAAACTCAGTGATTTTTATGTGTATTTGCATAACAGGAGAAGGCTTGTTCTGTCCTCCCACAGCACAGCCTTGGATAAGTTGTGAGAGTTTTTCAGTGCATGGAAATTTAATTTAGGGTGTTTCAGGAATATAATTTTTTGTGCATTTCTGGAAATGCAGACAGCACTTCAGTGTGGATTAGAAGAGAGCTAGCTGGGTGGCAAAGAGAGTTTAATTTATTTCATTCTCAGTTAAATCTTTGGGCAGGAAGATATGCTCCATCCTTCTGGCAACCTCTCTAGCTAAACCCCACTGTTCCCCCTGCTCTGTGACAGCAGCCCAAGGAGCTGAATTTCTGCTCTCAGCACAGGCTGAAATCCAGCTCACAGCAACAACTGATTAGGTGAACCTCTGCTGAGTCTTCACAGGGTCTTTATGACATTCATTTTAAAGAACACACACAGGGACAGGAAAGCCCAATTTGGACCTTAAAGCCAGGCTGTTCTTCCCTGGCACACCAGGCCTGATTTACACACCTGTCTGATTAAAGATGAAGTCTTTCAGGGTTTCCAGCGTTCTGTCTGTATGATTAAATCTAGCCATAGGTTTAGCACCTTGGAAAAGGAGGATATTTGGTACAGCCACAGTTCCAAATCTAGTTGATAAACTACAAAAAGAAAAAACGAAGCATGAAGGAAGTTAAATCTTCTGGAGGAAGAAATAAAGACAGTCCCATTACCGAAAGTGTCAGTTTCACTAAACAAAACTGTCAGTTTATGTAGAAAAAAAAGTCACTCCTGTTTTTAAAACTCAAAGCTAACAGAAATGAACTGCAGCTAGAGCATAGGGAGTGTGAGTTACCTGCTGTGCTGGGATGCATCCAGTGCCAGGAAGCGAAGAGTTGGAAAAGCTCGGGGCAAAGAGTTAAAATGAGGTGCCAGGCTGGCAGAAAAGCGGCACCACGGTGTGTAGAACAGGACCAATGTACAGTCACTGCTGTTTGGGTTCAGGAACTCCATCAGGTCCTTGGAGAAAGCATGAGAACAAACATGGACATATTTAACAGAGTTAATTCTGTGTAGGGATGCAGCATTCAGCAATTGATTAGATACATGGCAATACTGATCAAGCAGCCACACCTTTTAAAACAGGTGGAGAATTGTATATAACCTTTTTTAAAGGTAATTTTAAAAGTGTATTACTTAAAAATATACATACACATAACCATTACAAGAAAAGAGCTGGCACTAATTGCCATTAACGATTTTCAAGACAAACACCAGTCCACAGAGCAGGAAAGCTTGGCAGCACCCTCCAGGCACAGAGATAACACATTCAGGCACATGAAGCGAGCCGTAACTCCATTTTTTCCCTACTCAGAATGGCCCAAAAAGCCTCCTTGCTCAGTCATCTGTTTTCTTCATTAGACAGGGAAATTCACTAAGCCAAGCACTGAAAGCAGCAGGCTGACGGGGCAGCCTCACGCGTTCACACCAACAGCGGGCAGCGAGCCCGCGTACCTGGGACACGTTCAGGATCTGCAGCGTGAAGCGCTCGATGCCCGTCGTGTTCCTCTCCTCGCAGTTCACCTTGGGAGCCTTGGCGCTGTCGGTGCCGTTCTGCTCCTCAGCGGGGGCGGGCAGCACGGGCTCCAGCACGGGCTGCTCCCGGGCCTGGGCGGCCGCGGGGCCGCTCCCCGCCGGCCCGCACGCATCGCCCGCCGCCGCCCCATCGCAAGCCCCCGCCGGGCCGCCGCTCGCCTCGGCCGGCACCGCCGACAGCAGCACGGGCTGCTCGGCCAGGGCCCCGCTGCCCAGCATCGCGTCCGCCATCTCGGCCGTGCGATAGCGCACCGGCTCGGGGCCGCCCGCGCTCCGCTCCGCCGCCGCTCCTGCGGGGACAGAGGCACGGAGGGAGGTGTCAGCGCCGCGCCCCGCCCGCCCCGCCACCGCGCACCCGGAGGCCCCCGGCCGCACCTGCGGGAAGGCTCGCACCGAGCCAGGCCAGCGCCAGCAGCAGCCGCCACATCCTCACCCACAGCCCCGGCCCGGCGGCCGCCGCCGCGTCTCCCCGGACAACGACCGCTTCCGCCGGATCCCCGGGACACTTCCAGTTCCGCCGCCGCTCGCATTTCCGTGGGAAGAGCCCTCAGGGCGCGAGGGTGGTGGTGGGACAGCGGAGTGGGGCTGAGCCCTGCTCGTGTTGGTACAAAGCGGGTGTGTTTAACCGAGTTTTCTCGCGGCCCTGCCGAACCCCGAACTGGGAGTGTTCGGCCTGGAAAAGAGAAGGCTTCGGGTGACCTAATTACGGCCTCCCAGTACCTGAAGGGAATTTACAGGAAGGATGGGACACGACCATTTACAAGCGCATGTTGTGACAGGACAATGAAGAATTATTTAGATTAGATATTAGGAAAAAATTCTTTACCAAAATTATTTTCTGAAAAAATTTACTGTGAGCATGGTGCGCCCCTGGCCCAGGTTGCCCAGAGAAGCTGTGGTTGCCCCGTGCGCATGTTGTGACAGGACGATGAAGAATTATTTAGATTAGATATTAGGAAAAAATTCTTTACCAAAATTATTTTCTGAAAAAATTTACTGTGAGCATGGTGCGCCCCTGGCCCAGGTTGCCCAGAGAAGCTGTGGTTGCCGTCATGCCTGGAAGTGTCCAAGGCCGGGTTGGACACTTGGAGCAATCTGGCTTAGTGCAAGGTGTCCCTGCCCATGGCAGGGGTGTGGAACAAGATGTTCTTTAAGGTCCCTTCCAACCCAAGCCATCCCACGATTCTGTGAGCCCGCCTTGCAGGGCTGAGCCCGCACGGTGACCGGAGCCGCTGCCCGGGCCGGCTGTCGGGCTGCTGGTGCTGCTCGAGGCATTTCACCGTTGATTTAAATTAGCTCTGGTCGGAAATTCTTGCAACGAGGCAAGTGCCATCCCATGGCTTCGGCGGGCTGCTGTGACTGAGCAGTGAGTGCCTGGAACTCATCCCAAGGCCTGCTCTGGTACAAGCGTGTCGCAGCCCCAGCACCTCCCCGCAGCCGCAGCTGCCTGGCGAGGGATTTGCCTGCTCCCACCCTCTCCGGCTGGGAGGTGCTTGCACACAAACGCTGCCTTAACCTACAGCAGGCTGGGGTACGGGTAAAACACGGCAAACTAAAGGCGTCTTTTTAAAACTGAAGAGTTCTTGTCCAGCAGCTTATCAACCAAAGCTCCCAAGGAGAAAGGCAAGATAAATACTCCCATGTTCCTTTTTAGGAAATTGTATTTTTCCTTTTGCAGAATTAGTTTTTACTTTATTTCAGTTTAATAGTGAAACCTCAAGACTATTTGGGACATTTTGAAAATAAACACATTACTTCAACCGCTGCTATCTTTTTTAACACACTTGTTTAAAACTGCCAGCAGTGCACAACGAGATTTTACCAAAACTCTGCATCTGTCAAAAACTGATAGTCATGACTGAGGGGAGTGTGAACCATGCACACGGGAAAAGGAACTATCAAGTACATGTGTATAAATGAAGATGCAGGTGCATTTATTACAGAAACTGGATTTTTAGCTTTGTTTTTACTCAGGTGCAGTTGTCCAACTGTGTCATTCCTTACAGCATACATTTTCTCACTTGCAGATTTTTCTTTCAAAGTCCAATTTGCATAAGCACTAATAATGAGGACATAATAGTCTAAAAATAGAAAACATGAGGTTTGCACATAGAGGGAAAACATTTAATTAGATCAGCTGATAACGAAGCAAGCCTGAAAGCAAAAGCACAAAGGGAATCCAAACTGGTGCAGACTAGCAAAGAACAAGCTGCCTCATTCCCCCTTCTCCTTATGTTTTAGTCAAAACAGCATTTTCAATTTGAAAACAATTTCTTACTGTGAATTTAATCCTAACATAATCTCCTTCCTGCCATAGCACAAATATCCCTGGAATACAGGGATAAATATGTCTTATACATCACAGAATAATGAACTATTATCACCGTTCCATGAAAATTTTATTCATGAGTACTTTCAATTTGATTTCCATGTGCAACAGAGGGAAAAGTTAGCAGCTGACTATTTATCCATACAGGGTTTAGCTCCTTTCCTCCCCTTTTCTCCACTTTCAGCGAAAGGACGAGTACAATTAAGTTACTGTCACATTGTTTTCAATTCATTAAAAAATAAGCAACATTCCTCTATCTCCTGACACCTTGCAATGCACACTCTTTTTGCCTTAATGCAAATATATGAATGTAACATGCCTGTAACAAGTAGGTGATGCTGTCAACTGGCATCTTCAGGCAGAATTTACAAGGTATTAAAAAATAAACAGGGAAAAAGTTAGGTTTTAAAGTATTAACTTTATTAATAAATATACATCCATATGATGATGTAAATACAGATCATGAACACTACTCCATTCCCATACACATAATTGCACACGAGTAGCTCAAGTTCATGGACATAAAAACATACACAGTATCTAATCAGGCTTTTTACAGCAGAGGACAGGGTGCTGATACTAGTTATTTAACAGATTACTGTTACCCCCAAAGTAAATGATGCAAGATTGAAGGAACAGAAAGTGGTTCAAATTTCAGAATACAGATTCTTCTATTTCAAAGAAAAGTCACAAGAAGAAAGGTCTAGTTTCTACTAAAGTCATAAATATATTTAGCGGTGTTAAAATATATGCATCAAAATAGAGAAGAATAAACTTTTTGTAATCAGAAATGAAGTTTGCAGTTCCAAGTATTTATGATTGTTATCAGCTGTTTTAACTGTCAACTCTAAGGGGAGCATGAAACATTATTATACATATAACAAAGAACAGCAGAGCCACAGCTAATGAAACCATTGCACAAATGACTTCACATTGCTCTGCCTTTTAAAGCTCTTCAAAATGGGGAAGGGAGTTAAATTCTCATCTGAATTACTCGGTGTATTGTAGTTCCAGGTAATTCTCTTCACAGATACATCACTTTTCACTGACAAGGCTTGGTTTTGTCCTGACTGAACATTAAGATCCTTCAGACAAAATGAAAACATATTCATTCAGAAGAGAGATCTTTAATGGCTCTAGTTAATTTGATTACTTTAAACTAAATCCAAGATATAAAGAACATTGCTTTAGTGACAAAGCTAAGTGCTGATTTTAAAAATACCATCTTTGATACCAAAGTCAGCTGCTTCTGATGGTATCTGATTTTTCTTCTGCTAAAATATGGTGCTAGCATCTTGAATCTGTCCAGTGCAAGACTTTATAGTAGCAAAATTATTTGGTTTTAAAGTTTAAGTAAATTTAGTCAAGAAAATGAATAGTAGTTACTATATGTATCTTAAACAGTGAACTTTATAGCATAATTAAGGAATAATAGCAAGCTAATACATTTCATTTATGTATAAATAAGACAATAGAAACTTGATAATTAAAAGAAATTATTAAAACCTAAACTTGACATGTCGGTCTTCTGAACAGTGTTAACACACAACAGTGATCCTAGCTTATGAATAGCTGAATTATGATATATAATATAAAATAAGCAATTTACCATACAAGTAATGTTTTCATACTATGGGGGGAAAATGCCAGTTTTCCCATTGGTATTAATAAAGTTTAGGCATTAACATGCTGTTTCAGTGTTTCTCATGAAAAAAAAAAGTGTTGAAAAAAGCACAATGTATTCTGCAGAGTATACATAGGAAGAACAGAAGTATTTGAAAAATCCATTTCTAGTCATTTTGAATCTCCTCTTTTTTTTTTTTTTCCCTTCACTGCATGGCACCAGTAAACTCTAAGTCAGATATAAAATAAAGGAGAATTAGGAAACACCAGCAGTGCACTTCTGATCTCCTTCCTACATCCAGAGCGCCAAGCAGCACACTGTGGGCTCTCTGAACACTTTTCTATTTGATGCTCATCATTTCACAACTGACAACATTAATTAGTTTTTACTGGGATTATATTTCATCTGATATAATTAATAAACACTGTAATGAACAGAAATTGCTTAGGTGATTTCATTATTTCATCAGCATACTTGAATACAAATTATACTAGCAGAACAGCAATACATCTGCATTATCTCCTGACACACAGCACAGCACCATTGAGTGGATGCACAAGTGAGGAACAGACAGGAGCAAACAGGATCAACAGGAGGAGGTAAGGAGTGGAGTTTCTCCAAGGTACAGTGGTGACATGCAACATGTTCCTTGCCAGCGAGGTGTGACACTCCTGCAGTTACACATTCAGCTGAAGAGGACTGCTTGCCCAGCTGAGTCCAGGAAAGAACTTAAAGCAGTCTTTTGTTGAAAAATTATCTGATTAAAAACAGCCAATACAACACAGATCCTGAGGGTGAATGAACTCACATTAGCATTTTGCATGTGTCAGAAGTTACATCTTCTGAGAGAGACTGCTAAATTTCAGACTTGCAAGTTTGTTGAGGAACAGAACGTACAACTGGATTTCAGAGCTTCAGCATGAAGAAACTATTCCTTAGTAGCAATTTAGCTGCCATTAGTTCATCTATCGACTAAGGAGCCATCCAGTATAAGTTGAGGTTCATTGTCTTAGTTGCCAGTCCATACACAGTTCCCCCAAAACAATTCAACACACCTATTGTAAAGTACAGCAAAAGTCCAGCTCAATATGTGTTAGGCATCACTGGAACACCTGAAGGCTTGCTGCTTTTTTCCTGATAAAAAAGGTATGAAACATGACATCTGTTTCTTAAGTTGTCATCACTGAAATCAAGAGGTCTAGTCAAAATGACAGCAGGCCAGAATAGCATTTATGTTAACAAAAATGACCATCATTACCCATTAGCACAGGCTCAACCCAAATTTTGTTCTCCCCCAAATCTGCAAACTCTACATATTCCCCCTCCCCAGGTATTTCAAGCTACGAATTTATCATAAAGTCATTCTATATGTGAAACAACTTAAACGTAAACTTTCTTCCAGATTAAAAAAAAGAAAAGAAAAAAGAAAAAAGAAAATTAATTTAGAACAAACAATATGTAACACTGAGGACTGATTATTTTTTTCTTTTGAAGTCTGGATGAAAGTATTTTGCACACTCACACATTCTCCCACACTTAAAAAAAAATTTACACACACCCAGTTGAAAAATTGAACACTTCTTTTGGGAGGAGGGGAGGTTTTAGTTTGAGTCAAGAAAGGTATTTATAGTTAACCAACAACATTTTTTTCTGGCATGCATGCATAGATGAATTACTCTATATCTGGGATCTAGCAGAGCAGTAAACTGCATCCTGTTTGCATCAGCTATACAGTTTGCTTTTATAAATCATGAAAATGGTGTCCTTTGGTAGATAGATAAGCTTCCATAACTTAAATATAGTACAAACATCTAACAATGAAATAACTATTTCCAGAAATATCTGGCAAAACTGAGTCTAAAATTTGGCAACAGTGTCTATTTAAAAAGTTTAATTTGTAAACATTATTGGTTATTACTTTAAAAGCTATTAAACTGTCGCCATCTAAGCACAGATTTGAAAGGCAAAAGCCAGCGTAAATATCTATTTACAGATTTAAGAACATACTGTTTAATATTAATCAAGTGCCTAACTAGAATGAACAGTACTTAATTTCTTATAAAATATTTCAAATTCCAAAGAATTATTTGTGGTTTGGTATATATATTACTAGGCATTTCAAAATTACCTAGCAGAATCCTGTAACAGTGTAACGAAAAGAACAGCTCTCACCTAATGGCAAAGTAACTTTGTAAGGCGCTGTGAAGCTGTAACACACTGTACAAATGCTCAGGTTTCTTTAATACCTTCCAAAATGTTTTTGGAGCATGAGTTGAAATTCACTTAATGCTACAACTCCAGAAATAAAAGTCACTGGAAATC